TGACAATATATAACATCAGTCCCCACTAGAGTGTAATTCTTGTCACAAAAAAACTTAACTGATCCACCATAGACGTAGCCCTTCCTGACAATGTGCTTTCCGTTTGTTGGTTTGCCAGGGATACCACACTCAACAGCTATCGTAATAATTACAGGGTGGTTAATTTTTTAGCCTTTGTCTTTTACATATAATGAACTAATACAAGAAATGAAGATAGCAGGGTATTAAGTAACTGCAACTTGAATAGACGCACACGAGCTAATTCTTCTTTAAACGGTTCAAAGTTGCGGGGTATGTAATTCATTTATACCGAAATCTCTCTCGCAATTTAAAAAATTGCAAATAAAACAACCCACTTTTCCTCCAAAATCAACTCAAGCTTTTTTCTTAAAAAACAAGAATGAACGCTAACCTTTACACTTGGGAGAGGCAGTGTTCCATCTTCCATCTACACAAGTCAGTTCAGCCTCGCCTTCAAGTGTGTACCCATGGTTACAAGAGTATCGAACTGTTTTTCCGTGCGTGTAGTTATTACCGATTTTAAGACCATGATGTAAATCACCAGGTGAGCGACAGTTAGCTTAATCAAAAACGAAAAAAAACAAGCTAAGCAACAGGAAAAAAGGAAGGGAATAAAATAAATTGCCCGTTATGTCTTTAGTTGATAAGAAACTAATTATTTCGATTTTGCTTTTACCTGATTCAGCGGCTTTGAAGGACCCAAATATCTTCGAAATAATTCAAACTACGTGTCTGACAACAAATTTAGGAAATTTTTCTCAAAATGATCAAATAACATTTGAGAATTATCGCGACCTTTACGTCAATTTTGACGTTATCATGGTAACCGAGGTTTTAACAGCCTTATTTTACAATACTTGCCTTGCTTACTATATAAAATGATTGGATCAATTCATTTCAAGGTTTACTTATTGAATATTGTATCCCAATGAATTTATAATATTTCGTATATTTATTATAACTTTTAATTTAATCCAGGCTTTTTGATGACTAAATGCGTCAATTGCACATCTGCCATAATGCACCTTGTTTGCCCTCAAAAATTTGCATAAGCATCGTCTTCGTTTCCTGGAAAAACTGCAATACCCAGGAGAAATCACAAACAAAGGTTATGGAAAACTTTAGGGGGCAAACGAGGTGTCTTATGGCAGATGTGCAAATCGCCAATTCAAAAACTTGAATATAAAATGGCTTAATGGTAGAAGTTGGATTTAAATTTCAACAGTATTCAACACAGTTAATTACTAGCATTTTTCCTTTTTGTTTCCTTTCAATTTTAAATTTACATGGCTATTTTTACTTTCATTTTATTTTTTGCTTTTTAAACATACTTTAATAGACAGGTCGCATTTGATATCACGGTTTCCTCGATTTACACGGGTTATTAATCGAGCTGGTGCACTATATATCAAGTGAATAGCAATCTAGAGTTACGTCACAAAGAACATAACAATGATCCCTAACCCGCGTAGACAATAACACAATTATCTCCACACAATGAAACGACACAATAGTGTATATATTGACTTGGTACATCGAGCATCACTCGGTTTTTCAAAATGGCAGATTTAACATGGCGTTGTTCCAGTACGTTCTCTAATAATAAACAAAGTCATCATGACGCCTCTGCAATTATAAAAGATTATCCGTGTGTCAGCCAACTTCAGATTTTTTTTAAACATTTCACTATTTTAGCATTGTTCACCTCATGGCTACTCCTAGGCAAAAAAAATGAAATTTGGATTGTGCTTATAACTCATAACAATGTTACGTCATAAGTACATCAAATCGCGCTAGTTATCCTTAGATGTTGAATGTGATGACTACATTATTAGGTATAATTTTGGTGGAAGTGTTATGATCTCTTTTCAGTTACAGAGGAGAGCCTCCCACGTTTCCCTGTCTTAGAAAGCAAGAAAAGGAAAAAAAGCAGGGTCAGATTAGGGTTAAACTCTTGTTTATTAAGTATGACGATACGTTTTCTCGTGTTTTGTCGAACTTTTGCCGTTTAAAAGCTACAATATTTCTACTGCTAATTTATGTATAGATCAGTTTTTAACGACCACGAAAGGTAACTGAGTTTTACGCCTTTAAAAACCTTTTTGGAAAAAATAGTTAGCGGGACTATGTCTTTTATTTTCTCTTACCCATGGCGCTTACCTAAGCAACGTGGAACAGAGGAACTCCAACTCCTATTAGCTTGACAATATATAACATCAGTCCCCACTAGAGTGTAATTCTTTTCACAAGCAAACTTNGTGCCAAGATATATTGCTGTAAGTAAAATAGGTAATAATAGCGTCATTTCATTGCTAAGACAACTCCGATGTCATTGCAACCATGATCATAACAAATTTTCATCCTTATCTAATACAACTGTGGTGGCAATTTATCCAAAACTTTGTTTATGGCGACGTAGTTTATGCTCAAACTTGGGAGGTATTGGCCCTGAACAACTGTATCGAGCCACCTTAACAATGCACCTTGTTTGCACCTCGAAAATTTGCATAAGCATTGTCTTCGTTTCCTGGAAAAACAGCAATACCCAGGAGAAATCACAAACAAAGGTTATGGAAAACTTTAGGGGGCAAACGAGGTGTCTTATGGCCAATGTGCAAATCGCCAATTCAAAAACTTGAATATAAAATGGCTTAATGGTAGAAGTTGGATTCAAATTTCAACAGTGTTCAACACAGTTAATTACTAGCATTTTTTCCTTTTCTTTTCCTTTCACTTTTAAATTTACATCGGTATTTTTACTTTTATTTTAATTTTTGCTTTTTAAACATACTTTAATTGACAGGTCGTATTTAATATCACGGTTTCCTCGATTTACACGGGTTATTAATTGAGCTGGTGCACTATATATCAAGTGAATAGCAATCTAGAGTTACGTCACAAAGAACACAACAATGATCCCTAACCCGCGAAAACAATAACACAATTATCTCCACACAATGAAAAGACACAATAGTGTATATATTGACTTGGTATATCGAGCATCACCCGCTTTCGAACAAAATTAATTCAAAATGGCAGATTTAATATGGCGTTGTTCCAGTACGTTCTCTAATAATAAACAAAGTCATCATGACGCCTCTGCAATTGTCAAAATTTATCCGTGTGTCAGCCAACTTCATTTTAGCACTGTTCGCCTCATGGCTACTCCTAGGCAAAAAAATGAAATTTGGATTGTGCTTATAACTCATAACAATGTTACGTCATAAGTACATCAAATCGCGCTAGTTTTCCTTAGATGTTGAATGTGATGAGTACATTATTAGGTATAATTTTGGTGGACGTGTTATGATCTGTTTTCAGTTACAGAGGGGAGCCTCCCACGTTTCCCTGTCTTAGAAAGCAAGAAAAGGAAAAAAAACATGGTCAGATTAGGGTTAAACTCTTGTTTATTAAGTATGACGATACGTTTTGTCGTGTTTTGGCGAACTTTTGAAGTTTAAAAGGTACAATATTTCTACTGCTTATGTTATAGACCAGTTTTGAACGACCACGAAATGTAACTGTGTTTTACGCCTTTAAAAAACGTTTCGGGAAAAAATAGTTAGCGGGATTAATGTCTTTTATTTTCTCTTAACCCATGGCACTTACCTAAGCAACGTGGAACAGAGGAACTCCAACTCCTATTAGCTTGACAATATATAACATCAGTCCCCACTAGAGTGTAATTCTTTTCACAAGCAAACTTGACTGATCCATTATAGACGTAGCCTTTCTTGACAATCTGCTTTCCGTTTGCTGGTTTGCCAGGATCACCACACTCAACAGCTATAATAATTACAGGGTGGTTAATTTTGTAGCCTTTGTCGTTTACATATAATGAACTAATACAACAAATGAAGATAGCAGGGTATTAAGTAACTGCAACTTGAATAGACCCACGTGAGCTAATTCTTCTTTTAACGGTTCAAAGTTGAGGGGTATGTAGCTCATTTTGCAACCATTACCGAAATCTGTCACGCAATTTAAAAAGTTGCAAATAAAACAACCCCCTATACCTCCAAAATCAACACAAGCTTTTATTTTAAAAAACCAGAATGAACGCTGACCTTTACACTTGGGAGTGGCAGTGCTCCATCTTCCATCCACACAAGACAGTTCAGCCTCGCCTTCAAGTGTGTACCCAAGGTTACAAGAGTATCGAACATTTTTTCCGTGTGTATAGTTATTACCGATTTTAAGACCATGATGTACATCACCAGGTGAGCGACAGTTAGCTTAATCAAAAAGAAAAAAATCAAGCTTAGCTACAGAAAAAAGTAAGGGAACAAAACAAATTGCTCCTTATTTCTTTAGTTCTTTATAGAAACTAACTCATTGAGTTATTTTGATTTGGATTTTACCTTATTGAGACCGAGGAACATCTTTGAATATCTTCAAAATCGTTCAAACTATGAAATCAAACTTAGCAAATAGTCCTAAAAAATAATCTAAGAACGTTTTAAAAGCAAGGGGACCTGTACGTCAGCTTTAACGTTACCATGGCAACCCAGGTTTAACAGCCTTGTTTTACCAAATTCGTCTTTTTTCTATAAAAACTGATTTATTTCAAGGTTTTCTGGCTGAAATATTGTATCACACTCAATTTAGAATTATTTGAATATTTGTTATAACTGTTAATTCAGTCAAGGCCTTTTGGTGACCAAATTCGCACTTCTCTCATAATACACATACTGATGTTCCGAAAGTTTTCCTAGAACATGTTTGTAATGGGAAACAAGACCGTTGTGTTTTATTTGGGGGTAATAATGATCGCCGCGATTCCCAAGAAATAGTTGGTGAAAGAGCCATACCAGTTTCTTGGGAGGTACGTTAATTCTGCTCTTGCAAATAGCAAAGGCACTTGGCTACTTGGACGAGACTACTGAGCCAAAAGGGATTTAAGGTGAACAAAAATACTAATTAAGTTTGCTCAAATCATTTTAAATTTGGAAGACTCGTTGACAGTCATCCTCATCCCACGCCGCTCTTTCTGAAGGGCTATGAAAGGGAAATAGTAACACGTGAGAGAAATGCTCCCATGGACATGCTTCCAGTACAACCAATTATTAGTAAGAGGAAGAGAGTCAGACAATGATTCTAAGCAGCAAAAGAAAAAGAAGCAATTAAAATTGTGGACACTCCGAAGAAACTGGTATCGTCTTTCCGTGTACTATTTCTCGGGTAAAAGGTGATCATTATTACATCCAAACACGGTACAAAGTTCTTTCTTCGCATAACAATCTTATTCTTAGAAAACTTTCAGAAAAATAGCCCCGAAAAAGCGCGCTTAAATACTGAGTGAGTGTATCGGATGGTGCTCATGCCTCCCTCGGCATCCCATAATACTCCTTAAATCTAATTAATTCAATATGGACACCGTATCGGTAAAAAAAAAAAACTGAACATAAAATGACTTGATGGTAGATGTTGGATTCAAATTTTAACAGTGTTCAACAGTGTTAATTATCAGCAGTTTTTTTTTTTTACTTTTACATTTACATCCCCTTTCTTAGGAAGCCAGAAAAAGGAAAAAGCATGGTCAGATTACGGTTAAATTTTTGTTTATTCCGTGTGGCGATAAGTTAATTTTTTGGTACAACGATTAAAAGCTACAATATTGCTACTGCTAATTTATGTACAGATGATGGTTTAACAACCAAAAATTGAACCGTCGTTTTTTACTATTAAGAAATTTTTGACAAAAATTAGTTAGCGGGACTTATGTCGTTTATTTTCTCTTACCCATTGCACTTACCTAAGCAACGTGGAACAACGGAACTCCAACTCCTATTAGCTTGACAATATATAAAATCAGTCCCCACTAGAGTGTAATTCTTGTCACATACAAACTTGACTGATCCACCATAGACGTAGCTTTTCTTGACAATCTGCTCTCCATTTGTTGGTTTGCCAGGATCACCACACTCAACAGCTATAATAAGAATCGTACGAAAGTGAATATTTTAGGCTTTGTCGCTTGCATATAAACTAGTATATGAAATACATATTAACTGCTTACTAACTAAGCGCGAGGGCCGTCGAGGTCCGTTTTGCTACGACCCAGGGCCAATATAGCCAAGTACGGCTCGAGCAAGCTCGGTTAGTAAGTTGTTTATTATGTGGCACTCTGTTTTTGATAGTAAAATGCACTTCCGGTGGCTTACACTTAAAGGGCTTCCGCCGTGACGTATGGGTGATGATGCAAGTAACTCAGACAAAAGCTAGCCTGCGTAGCAAGCGTTTCCGCGCGAGTTCGTCGAGAACGTCGGGACGGGAGCAAAAAAAATAACGCTTGCTGCGCAGGCTAGACAAAAGCAAGCTAGCACGAGTTCGAAAAACAAATTTATTGAATGTGAAATCGTCTGAAATCAGCTTAAACAAAACCTCAAAAATGCTCTGTAACGGAATCTGACAAAAGCAATTGTTGATTCTAAAATTCGAATAAAGGGTTTTTCGCGATCAAATAATATTTTCTTGATTACAAAATATGGATCAAGTCAGTGTCAAGTGAAGCTGTAAAAATTAAATTAAAACTGGACAAAGTTGATAAAAAATAGCTTCAAAGTCAATCGTCCTCATCGCTCTCGATGACAATTCGACGCTTCCTTTCATTCTGAACAATATTCACATTACCATGAAATATTTGGAATATGCACCCGTTGATGGATCCTATGTTTGCACCTGTAAAAACTGGAACGTTGGAAGACAGAATTAAACGGATCGCTTGACGGATCAATCAATGTATTTGTTGTCGAACTTGCAGCGATATCTGTAGTCGAGCGAGTTACTACTTCAAACCCTTGATTATGGACACTTGATAAAGCTTCATTTCTGGTTCCAGAAAGATCAGCTCTGCTGAGGGTCAAGGAGATCCTCTTTTGGTGTTTAGCACTGGCGGACTTGTAGGACTGTAAACTCTCCCTGCTTTTGTGGCCACTCAGTTGGGCTACAAAGTTCTCTGGAACATGAGCATCAAGGCTCCTCGAAATACAGGTTTTCCTGACAGAATGATTGGTTACTTTTTGTCCCTCTCTGTGAAGGCCAGCATTCTTCGCTGCAGTGGACAGAAACCTTCCTATTTCATTTTCTCCGAGGGTTGCATTCATATACCAAACTTCTTCATTTGATCGTCGATTATGCCCGACCGCTAAGTAAAATGGTGACTCTGGTGCGTTCATTTCCGTTGGCCGGTGACTGCGGAAGTTTTTGTAAAAACTGACAGGACATCTTGCTGTATTGGTGGCATAAATCTTTGGTTGGAACCAGGGGGGGAGGTGTCTCCAAGGAAATCTATGGTACAGTCCGCCTGCCAGTATGACGTCACATCTCGCGTCAGTGACTTTCAAAACTGTGGCGAGCAAAGTGTTCATCGAAGAGACGGATAAAAATTTTGATTTTATCACGGAAATACTGTTCCGATTTCTTGCATTTGGAGATTTTAAGGTCTCTATTGTCATAGAAAAATAGACTTAGTACTTTTTTGGAACGAAATTTCCAGTGGTGTAATGAACTTTAAAAATTCCTTTCTATCGTCGAGCAAATTTTACGGCCAATCATACCGACCGGTCACACTTTGGAGGGCCAGTGCACAGCAAGATTGAGGAGTTTAGACACAGCAATAAGAGGTTCATCAAAGGATGTATTATACTTTACACTGTGTGTATTTTCAGCTCTTCAGAGCTAGTCGAACCCCATATCATTCCTCTGAAAGTTCGCTTAGCTGTAGCGTTGAAAGAGGACGCTAAGGGACTGGTCAAAAAGTATAGGAGGGGGTGGGCCGGAGCAGAGAGGAGGTGGGTCATGAGGTTTTGAGCCTTCTGCAAGGGGTGGGTCGTGCAATTTGCAGCTACCCTTAGGGGGTGGGTCACCCTATTTTTATTACATAGATAAACACTAACTACTAACGAGACAGTTAACCACACTTGTTATATAAAACACAGGCAGCTGGAATTATTGCTAAAATACTCACAAACCTGTTGTGCGAGAAAATGCAACGGGTGACAGGCCGCACATCCCGTGAACCCTTTGTTAACCTTTTTTTTTTTTTT